GTACTAAACCGCAGATTGAGTCACATTGGTCTCAAAATGTTTCAAGTCTGTCTCTCTTGCTTCTCTAAATGGGACTGAAATCTCCTTGACAGCAGGGATGGAGCTATGCGCTTTTTTTTGGTTTTGTTTTGAGATGAAGTTTCACTCTCATTGCCCAGGCTAGAGTGAAATGGTATGATCTCAGCTCACCACAACCTCTGCCTCCCGGATTCAAGCAATTCTCCTGCCTCACCCTCTCAAGTAGCTGGGACTACAGGCACCCTACACCATGCCTGGCTAATTTTGTATTTTTAGTAGAGATGGGGTTTTTCCATGTTGGTCAGTCTGGTCTCAAACTCCCAACCTCAGGCGATCTGCCCTACTGAGCCTCCCAAAGTGCTGGGATTACGGGCGTGAGCCACCACGCCTGGCCTACACTTCTTTTAAAATCCGTAGTGGTGGATACCTAGTAGTGGCCTGCTAAATACTGACAGTCTAATGGAAAGCAGAGGGATTTCAGAGACAGAAGAAAGATGGCCAGGGGCCTCAAAGCATAATAGAGTATTACTCAACTGCATTCTTAGGGACAAGTGTAGCAATCGTCTCTTAGATTGGGGGTCATCACTGACAAAGATCAGACAAGAAAACAAAACAAAACTTCCTTTGATCTCAGAAAGTGCTCTTCCCAATGTCCCCAACCTGATTCACAGATTGAGACATTTTTTAAAGTCAAGGTCATGAGCCTTCTTAGTTAGAATAAATACCTCATCAGTGTAGCATCAGTCTCTTTCAATGCTAAGACCATCTTGTCCACAATTTTACTTTTTTTTTGGACTGAGTTCACTTTATCTCAGGGTCTGAGTTTGTGGATGGAAGTTTATTTGCTTGTGTGGTTCAAAATATGGAGCTCTTTGGGTAACTTCTGGAGAGCATCAGAAAGAGCCTTGATTCCTAGCCACTAATTCCTCCTCTTTGTCCCCTATTGGGTGCTATGAGCCATGAGTTAAGAGGTGGCTTTAGTCTTTTGCAAGGTGAGTCTGGGTCATGTCTTCAGGATGGGTTAGAGGTCTCCTCATACTGATGTTTCCAAGTCCATTTGGAAGTTCAAAACCCTCATTGTTTTTTCTACCCATAGGCCTTGTCCTGTTCAAGGACAAGGGTGGCTTTTTGGGAGGAAATCAGACAGGAGAGTCGTTGAATAAACATTTTAGTGCTCATTCCCTGACCCCTGCTTACTTCAAAGGGATGTTAAATTACAGCCGGGGCCTAGTGTGCAGGGCAGAGCCAGCTTTTCAAATCAACATGCCTTTGACTGGCATGCAGGCTACTGTGGCTAACACTCACTCGAAATGTGTCTGCCCTGTCCCACTTCCCTTCTTCTGCTCTAAAGAAGAAGGCCATCTTTCTTCTGTCCCTAAAATCCCTCTGCTTTCCATTAGACTGTCAGTATTTAGCAGGCAGAATTCCAGCCCCGAAACCTGTCAGTTACAAAGGCCACCATTGCTTCATTCATTTGCAAGTCTCTGGTCAGCCTGTGGAGGCTGTGGGAGCCAGTGTTCAGCGCTAGGCACGCAAGTGGACTCAAGATCCTTGGCTGGGGAAAAGTTGGGGTTGGTGACATTGACCACATCTTCCCAGCAACAGGATCAATACAGATTTGAAAGAATAAAAATAAGAAACCTAGTCCCATCAGCTTAGGCTTTCCTTCAAAGAAGCCATTCAGGGCATGGAGCTCTGACAGCTGGAGAGAAGTAATTATCTGAAATTTCATCAGGAAGGTCTTAAAAGGACAGACTCCTCCAGGTTATGCTGTTCACTGTGCATCTATAGTGGCTCCAAACTCCAGGTGGGCAAAATAGCAAAATTCAGCTGGCTCTGGGCAGACTGTTAGCAGTTTCAGTGAGGTAGAAAGAGGGGATCACAGCCTGATAGAAACCTCCAATTAGCAGAGGTGAATTTGTAGGACACTTTGTGAGGAAAAGCCTCTGAGGTCAAAACAAAACCTCTGTTTTCTCTGGTAGCATCATCGTGCTAAACCACTTTTTTTCTCTTTTTTTTCTAAATATATTTGACTACATGACTCATCTGGTTGCTAATATATACAGCTCTGACCTTGACACATTTAAGGTTTCCAGAGCCTCCTAGATACTGTTATTGGGAATACAGTCCCTCTATACCAATATTAACATCATTTAAAAAGAGAGTTAAGAGCCAGATATTTTTATCTTTTTTTCTAGATTTTTGAGCCTGATTATTTTCAGGGTTTACTGAGAACTCCATGAGCACAGCAAAATTGAAATTATATACAGCTTCAGAAAAACAGCAAGTCTCAGTATGTATACTTCAGCTTTTTTATGGTTAATTTTGTTACTTTTGTATACATATGCTTAGAATCTTAGCTATTTTGCAATATATACTAAATTGAGATAAATACAGCAAAGTATCTGGAAGATTATTAATCTATCAACTATCTATCAATGTATCTATCTCTATCTTAAACTATTTGTCAGAGTTTGAAAACTGTACTCTAATTACTTCAACATACAAGTAGAAGTATTTTCAAAAATCTTTAGTATTTGCCCAATCCTATGTCGTTTCAGTTAAAAAGCATAATTTAAACAGACTCAAAGTAAAAATTCCTCACAAAATTATGTAAAGTTCATAGGAATAAAATATATAATTTAACTTGAAATTATACATAATGAAAAATTAACATAATTAAAATAATTAAAGGTACAAAGGAACAGATGTGTAAGTTCCGTTAAATCATGGATGGACTCCTTAGGCCAAAAGGAAGCCAGTTGATCTGGGTTTATCACAGTCCCACCAAAACCATTTCACATAGGTGTGTATGTGACTGATTCTAAATCTTCAGCGATAATACAGGCACTTTCTCAAGTGCCCTCCTGTCTCCTGCCCACCGCCCAGGTCTTGGAAACTGCGCTGTTTTTCAACGTTTTGCATCTTGCTGTTTTAGGGCAACAGGTCTCAGCGTAGGCTAATGGGTCTCTGCCAGACACGCTCTAATCCTTGCTGCCATCTAGTGGTACATTTAGACACTGCAGTGTAACCTGAAGGGAAGAGAAAAGATGGGGAAGAAAAAGGAGGGCGAGGAGGGGGAATGAGCAGTGCGGCCCTCTGGATCCAAATATGCATAAAATGAGCGTTTTAAAAGGCAAGACAATGAACAGATGTACATACTGTTTTTGCATCCTGAGTAATGCAAATAATGGTACTTTTCACAGTTGCTCAGTATCTGCCCCAAATGAATAGAACTTGTGTAGACAGGAGCAACTGCACCTTAAACATACTCTAGCTGTCGTCAGAATGGAGAGCATGAGAGAGAATCATGAACTGGTGTTAACTTCTGCTAGTCACGAGCCTTTGTTTAAGTGGGTATCAAACGAAGGCACTCTGGGGGAAAAATGCGACATCCACCAAATTTGACAACATTTCAAGGATTGGCTTGCTTCAGTTTATTCAGGTGCCTTTGGTTCAGGAAACAGAGTTATGCTTGGTTAAAAATTTTGTAGTTTTTACTGCTGCTAATCACAAAACCACAAGCTCACAGAGCAATGTAGCCAGGATCAGGGACCTCCTAAATTTGAGACTCTCTGATCCTACTGCTCCAACAGTCTAGGAAGGGAACATTTAACTTTTCACCAGATTTAGCTGAATTTTGAAAGATCCTGGGAATTTCTAATGGTTTTAGCATTACCCAGCTAATTCCCACAGGTCAGGGGAGAGGGAATGAAAAACAAGGCTTTGAGCCTGAAAGAAAGCAGTACTTATTGAAGCGTAAAGACCACTTAAAACTCTGAACATTTTAAGCATCTGTGCATTTCATGGTAGAGCCAGTGGCCAGAATTAAATCCATTGTTTTAAATCATGAGCTTTCAATGAGAGGACCGTTTGTGGCTGTACTTGTTGGTTTGTCTAATGGGTTTCAGAAGTCTGAACTCTTGTTCCTGTTCGTCACAATAGGTAGGGAAGCAGGGATTTTTGTTGATACCACTTGCATGCACTAGGTTTGGCCTGGTGTGTCATGCTAGACTGAGCCAACATCACTGTCACACTGGCTCTTTGGGACAGGCGTAGGTTTGTCTGAGATAGCTGTCAGAATTTGGACAAGGCTGTCCTCTTATAGGTCAGACAACTGGCTCCTTTATCCTTCAGACCCAGGTTTGAATACTGGATTTATTGGATTTTCTTTGTCTCCTTCCTTTCCTTCCTTGTAAATCTCTCTCAGATATTTGTTTTCTTTTCACAAACCTCTTGATGATATTGGCACTAGAATGACAGTGTGAACACTCACTGAATGGTCTACTCCCAGTAGATGAGAATTTTTAAGGCATATAGATCAGAAACTGGAGAATGGCAGGATTCGACCTATGGTTTATGCAATATTATGGAAAGAATTGTTTTGCAGAGAAAATTTCTTAAAAGTACATTCCTGCTACCGTTTTAATTAAAACTCTTAAAACCCACAACTTGTAGCATAGGATCAGCCTCCCTATTAACTAACATTTGCCTACTGTGGCTATTACCTTCCTTGTGTTTTTCAGTGCCACAAAACCCAAACTGCTTACAGTTTTTGTAATATACCCTTATCAGTTCTGTGACTTGGTATTCATTATTCCCTCTCTGTGTTAAATATGCTCCCCCCACCATTGTTTGTCTACAAGACGGACATTCATTCTAAACCATGTCCTAGATACTACTTAACAGAGTTAATTATTCCTCTCCCTGTTACTTTGCCCCTTGTGTACATGGTCAGTGTTGTCATTTTATTATAATGCGATCATTTACCACATGCTCCTCTTCACTATTCAAGGGAGCTCCTCAGCATTCTGGGCCTTATCTGGCTGTGAACCCACTGTAGCCAAGCTGCAGTGATCAGCTGAGGTGTGGTGAACTGAACTGAAGCTTTCATGAAATGCAGAGAAGCCCTACACACTGCATCCCCAGGGTGCTCAGGTTTTAAACAGACATGAAGAGTCCCTCTCTTACCTTCCTTCCAGCTATGTAACCTCCTGAAGCTCCAAAGCTTTTGGTGAATGTGCCCATGAGCACATCAACTTCGTGAGGGTCTAGTCCAAAGAACTCCGTGACACCCCGGCCGGTTGGCCCCACGGCCCCAATACTGTGAGCTTCATCTATGTAGAGGTAAGCCTTGTATTTCTTCTTTAAAGCTATGATCTGGGGTAGATGCACGATGGAACCTTCCATGCTAGGGTAGAAGGAGAAATGCTCATAACTAACAAATACCCTCCTGGGAAGCTCTGTCAGTTTCCCCATCAATACATCCTAGACAGTCTGCCCTGGTGCATGTCAGGGGCAACAGAGACAAGCCATTCCTTTGTTGTGATGGCAGGTTTTATTTGGCTGAGACAACTCTCTCAATCTTGTAAGGCCACTTGGGCATTTCTGTGCTACTTGGATAAAATATTTCAATTCAATGGATTTAAGTGCTTTCAGTTTCAGCTAATTCCCAAGCAAACAATCCGCTCACTGCATTATTGATCCAAATAATTTGTAAAGCCAGCTAGAGTAGCTAGACTGACCATTTTGGATTCTAGATATTCTGCTAGGATAGATGAAATTACTCTATGGTCATTCCCTTTATCTGCCTGTTATTGCCTGTTTGGCCAGGTCGGTTTGACCTAAACTCAGTGCTTGAATTGCCATAGATTAAAAAAGGGAATTAAAAAGACACAGAATTTTATTTAAGACATCATAGTATTAATTAAAGTACAATAGGAAGTCTTTAAGACCTCTTGTTCAATACCCACTGCAAGTCAAAGGCTGAGGTGTCTGCTCTTTCTGTTCCTTTAGGGCAAAGGAACAAAAAGTTGAGTGACCATCAGAATCCTCTGAAGCATTTGTTAAAACACAGATTGCTAGACTCCTGCCCCAGAGTTTCTGATTCAGTGGGTATGGGGTGGGCTGAGAATGTGCATTTCTGCCAAGCTCCCAGCAGATGCTGCCACCAATGGTTGGGGACCACACATAGAGGGCCACTGCTCTAGATGCATTCTTTTGTTTTAACCTCAATTTTATTTTTCATGATATTGTAAGTTGCAAAAGCACTTCAAGTCCTGTGATCTGGGGCAGACACACGATAGAAGCTTCCATGCTAGGGCAGAGGGAGAAATGCTCTTAATTAACAAATACCCTCCTGGGACGCTTTGTTATATCCTCTGGCACAAAGGGAAAAAAAATGAAGTTTATGAATAAGTAAAATTACAATTTATATTTACATGGCACCTCTAGGACTCAATGGATTTAAAAAATCTGACTCATCAGTTCTTAGAACACTTTGCAAGCTGTGTCTATTTGCACACAGTTTTGACTGTACTGACAGGCGAATTGTATGAAAACACACAGACACACTCACCACACAAAGGAACTTGTCAGACAATTCAAGCAACCCTTTGTTGGTTCAAGAGCTCATTAATTGAATCAAACAGAGTTGAACTTCTCCTTTCCTCCCTAATTATCTATTAGATTAAATTTAATGTATTAAAAAATAAACTTAGGTGTTAGGTTGATTCAGTCAAAACAGTCCAGCTGGTTGTGTGCACAGTTACCCAGACCAACCCGTGTTGGTTTGGAGAGAGCATCGTGATCATTGGGTGCAGCATTTGTGTGTTTCACAAGGTAGTTTTGAGTGGCTGCATTCAGATTTTAATGAAATAAAGGCCAAATAGAGTTGTCTTTTCTTATGTAAGTTTGTGAGTTCATTACAACATGTTCTTAAATTAATTGCTTGTTAAAATTGTTTCCATTGAGGGGAAGACAGTCTGGCCATCTGACTGCTTACGTACTAACTGTGAACTTGGGAAATTTGTATGATGTTCTTTGCCTGTTTCCTCATATGTAATACAAACAGGACGATGGGCCCCTCTTCACAGGGTCTTCATAACAATCACTTGAAATCATGCTTGTAAACTACATGATCCATGATGGGCATTCAGTGAACTGTTATGGTCCTTAGGAGGAGAAGCGTAGGAGGAAATGACTGCATTGAGTCCTAACTTGGGAAATTGCGAGCCCTTGACAATGTTCTATGTTGAATCTTGTAGTAGTCAGGCATGTAGGTGTCATGGTGGATGTCATACATAATAAATGGCCTCAGGTCCTCAGAATTCTAGAATTTTATTCTCTTTAAAATGTTATAAGTTGGTAACACAAATATACCAAAAACCCGACTTGCCACAAACAGCCATTCTTTGTTCTGAAACTGAATTTGACAGGAGCCAAAGTTAATGTTCCACAGTGTTGTAGACACTGCAGGCAGCTAGTTAACCGTCTTTCCATGGGGCTGGTCTAGCTGATGTTAGGAGCCTGCCCACCTGGTTTATATTTCTTCCTCTAAGATTAATGACTCTACAATGCTGCTGACTTCTGGAGTTAATGCAGGGCACACATAGAGTCCTAGGGAGAACTCAACTTTTATAGAGTTATATTCACCCACACTAAGTTTTCATTTTCACAATGTGATCAAATTTGAATTCAGCCTTTTCCCACAGTGGGATATTGAGTCTCATGCAGCCATAAAAAGGCTATCTGTGTTATTCACATGAATTGCTGTCAAAAAACGGTGCCAAAAATGACATAGAAAACAAGAACAGCATTTTATTCTTTCTTTCTGAATGGAAGGTTGTGTTTTTCTTTCGACTTCAATAGAAGAAAAACAACAAAAATACAACTGTAGCTACAGATAATTCCACGAGTTAATTTGAAGCTCTGTGCAGCGACTTGAATTATTTTTAAACCAGCAAGCCAGTGAATAATTCCTTTATATCTTTTCTATTACATAATGTATTAGCTAAGTGACAAGCCTTCTTTTTGAAATCTCCCTCTCACCACCTTTCCCTCCACGTATAAACCATATTAGCCATTGGCAGGATTGAGAATTTAACCACTGGCTAGCTAACTCACATGGTGGAAAAATCTCCTTGGTGGGCCTAAAGTATAACCCAAAACAAGAAAGCAAGGTGGAAAGAGAGAAAAAGGGAGTTAAGATCAATTAACAATAAAGTAACTACCATTTTCTTATTCTTTTTCTTTATTTGCTTAAACCATAGAGATACAGTAAGAATTTACACTGAAGTTCTCAGTCCTTTAATTTACATTATTTTGAGGATAGGAGAATAGCTTACATTCTTACAGTAAATGGTCTCCTGAGACTACAGCATGTGTGCTTATGTTTATATATGTGCTTGTTTTGGAAGAGATGACTATCATTCCTTCATTCATTTTATTTTTAAAGTTTGAGTTCCAGCTACGCTAGTGTTCGTCCCAGGTTACTTGGGGCACCACAGCTCAAGGATATTTTTGAATAATTTTGAGATTCTCAACCGTTGTGAGTTGAAAAGGGATCTAAGACTTCTCAGAGACATTAAATTAGAAAAATGTGATTTAAAAATGATACTTAATGAAAACATACGGATCAGAACACTGAAATAATACTATGAAGGGTTCATGAAACTCTGAATTTCAAGTTTCAATGTCCCTGTTTTACAGTTGAAGAAACTGAGCCCTAGATAGGTTAATGGTAAAGGTCAAATGGATGATCTTACATTTTCCATGTTTACTTCATTGGATATGGACACATAGGCTGACTCTTCATTTACATGGAGTCTTTGTCCCATCAGGGCCACCTGGTTTTAATTCCAGCTGTCCTGGGGCAAGTTATCTAGGTTATCCGAGCCTCAATTTCTTCATAGTCACAGTAACTTCAGGAATACTTGGAGGCTTACTCAAGGTTGCACATGGGAAATGTTTAGCAAGGAGTAGACACATGGTCAATGTGAGTTTCTTTCTCTAATATCCACTTTCTGGATGGAAGAAGAGCAAACAGGCTTGCAACATCGATGACTTACATTTTCTGAGTTGCGACTTCTTAGGCTGAAAATCAGTGTGATGATGAAGACAGCCACTCTTGGTTGTGAGCATTCTATCTGCTTGGGCCTCTGCCAAGCACTGGTTTATATGACCTCATTGAATACTGATTATTACAAAAGTACCCTATGGAGGCCACAGGGATGTAGGTGGTGATGCCAGGATTTGAACCTAAGTCCTAGGCCTGCCTCAAAATCCTGGCTCCTCTATATTCTACATATGAATAATAATACCCATGAATGATGACATTATTATTATTAGTTTTGTGGCATTTTCTGACTTCTCAGACTGGGTATCTAGCCTTTTCTATCTTAATATCTGCCTGAAACTTTCTGATTTGGCTGATTGCTCTCTTTGGGGGATATGAAAAAATGGACATACGTGGGCTCTGTGGTCACGTATGTAGGGATACTTTACCCATGGTGGCAGACAACAAGCAAGAGAAAAAATCTGGGAGTTAAAATTCAAAGGCGGCTTTGTGTGGGTATCAACAAGATATGCATTCCTAATATACCTCTAAAAAGTAGAAGTGCATTTGTGAACTATTGACTTCACATTCTTAACCTTGGACCTTTGGAAAATTCCATGGGAAATAATTTTTTTTTTTTTTTTGAGACAGAGTCTCTCTCTGTCTCCCAGGCCAGAGTGCAGTGGCATGATCTCAGCTCACTGCAACCTCCGCCACCCAGGTTCATGTGATTCTTGTGCCTTAGCCTCCTGAGTAACTGGGATTATGGGAGTGCACCAACACACCTGGACAATTTTTGTATTTTTAGTATAAGTGGAGTTTCACCATGTTGGCCAGGCTGGTCTCAAACTCCTGACCTCAAGTGATACACCCGCCTTGGTCTCCCAAAGTGATAGGATTTCAGGCATGAGCCATTGCACCCAGCCTTGTGGGAAATATCTGGTGGTAGTTGCAAATTAGAACACCTATATAAAGGCTTTTCCTTTGAAGATTAAAGCTCTAGAACTCTTCTCTAGGCTATGTTTATTTTACAGATGAGGAAATTGAGGCCCCCAGGAGTTACTGAGGCTTGTCAAAGAGATGCCCTGTTTCCTATCTGTGAATGAGGCCTTCTAAATCTTGGTCTCATTTAAAATCAAGATTCCTGTGTGGGTGAAATGAAAGGAACCTCCTTGTGAAGGAAAATTCATAGAAAGTGGGGACTTCACTCTGTGTCATCACTAGGTCGATTGAGCCA